AGATGAATAGACAGATAAATGACAAAGTACAATTTTCAGATTAGCTGTCATAGCAGGACATGCTTTTACTGTAAAAGTATTGTGGTATGGTATGGGGGTTAGGTTAACTTATAATATTATAATATAATATGTAAAAGTGATATGATATGACAAGAAAGCATGGACATCCCTATAAGTAAAAAAAAAGAAATAAATAAATAAGGAATTAAAAATTATATACATATCGTACAAGTTTAAATTACACCATTTACTGTTTAGGTAACTTGAATCGTGAGGATTGATGAAGAGTTTGAGCAGCGGAATAGGGTTCCGAGAGACAAGCGGTGATTTGCATGTATATATAAATAAAGAAATGAATAATGTTATGCGTAAATAACTAAAAAATAGCATAAATCATCAACCTGCAGCTACACAGTTTATATGCTTTCTTAATATTGAGTCGAAAGTGCCTAATTCACATGTGCAACAAGTCCAGCCTCAGTACAATGTACAAAATATCAGTTTTGAGAACCAAAAACATAGGACACCAGAATGATATCTAAAGAGGTGAATTATATGCGAAATGGAGCTTTAGAAGGGAATAATTAGACTTATTTCAGGAAAAATAAAAGAAATTAACTTACTGTCATGACAAACAACGCAGTTAGTGCACCAGATGGAACAACTGACTTGGGGGTGAACCATTTCCATTAGAGTTGCTACTACAAAAATTGTCATCTCCAATCTAAAAGCAAAACCACCATTAGACAATATTGAAGGAAAAACTGATGAAAGCTCCCAAAAAACTTTATTCTTTGCCTCAAAGTAAATTGATTTTATAAGCCATGTACTCCACAATTTAAAGTCTGGCCAAAACAGTTAAATACTCAAGATTATCAGATTATGATCAGTGCTCAATAAGATAAATTTCACAGGATATTGTAGTAAAGAAATGCATTCACTAACCTCACTAACAAGAATCATGGAAAAACTTGCAAAGAAAGCATCAAATACTCCAAGCAAAGCAGTTGAATTGGAGATAAACAGAAAATTTACAAAGCAGAATTGATTTTCGCAGTACAAGTCTAACAGGGTAATTTTATGATTCTTTCCAACTTCATAAAGACACTGCGACACCATTTGTCTATCACATAATAAAATTTATCTTTGCGCTACAAATATATGATTTGATCTAACTAAACATTTGGACATAAGAGAATTGATGACCTGTTGGAACGATGTTTGAGTAAACCTAAATGCAATAAATAATATACAAGGAAAAAAGAAACAGAGGTCTTAGTGTCAGACACAAAAGGATCAGGTTTCTTTATTTAGAGATTTCTAGGCCAAAAATTGTACTGCAGCCATTTAAAAATGTGGATGCTAGGATATGGTGCATTAACATTTACTGAAAGCAAATACCACCTTAAGACTTACCATAGCTACACAGACCCATAGCTTGCAGAATCTCTTCAGCTCTGACAAACCACAGTCGTAGATGTCACCATTTCCTTACTGCACAGAATAAACAAAACCCACAAAATTCAA